GGCGGGGCGTGGGCCCTGAGGAGGGGCGGGGCCTTCCGCGGCGCGCTCAGGCGCTGCGCGGCCACCTCTCGTCGGGTCCTAGCACCTGCGCGAAGATGGCGGCTCCCTGGTGGCGAGCCGCGGTGCTCGGCGGCCGGAGCTGGCGGGCCTTCAGCACTTCGGGTGAGGGACCAAGCGTCGGGGGCTCCCGGAGGACCCGCTGTCCCGAGCCCTCGGCTCGAGTCAGCGGCTCCCGAAGGGCCGGGCCTGACGCCCCGCTCTGCGTCCGCAGCTGCCCGCAGCCGCCGGACCGCCCCGCTGGGGCCGATGCCCAACGAGGACATCGATGTGAGCAACCTGGAGCGGCTGGAGAAGTACCGGAGCTTCGAGCGCTACCGGCGCCGGGCGGAGCAGGAGGCGCGAGCCCCGCACTGGTGGCGGACCTACTGGGAGCATTTCGGGGAGCAGTCAGGTGGGCGCTGTCCCGGCACCCCCTTGCTTGCGCCGTGAACACGGCTGGGCTGACTGAACCCCCTGTGCATTAATCCCCCGATGGATCCCATCAGAAACCTTGACACTCTCCATCCAGAATGCCCAACTTAGACTCCAAGACCCTCTCCCGCACCCCGAATGCCGAGGTTGTAGCCCCGCTGCCCCCTGAAATGCCCCGTAGCACTGGCTCGTCAGGCCTGATTTCTTTTCTCCCTGACCCTAGATGGCAAGCTCCCTGAGGATAGGCATCCCACCCACCCTGAACCACTGGCCCCTTACTCCCATAATCAATCCCTGCCAGAAGTCTGTATGATGGTTTTTTTTGCTGAATGAAATGGAAAAGCCTTGGGCCAAGGGGGTGACTTTGGGACCCCACCTTAAGGGCTGCTGAGTATACCCTATCTGACGCGATTCATGAGGACCTATGGGAAGACGGCGGCTCCCTGGTGGTTGCATGCTGCCCTCGGGTCTCTGTGAGTCAGAGAATGACAGTGAGTTTGGGGGTGTTCAAGGCACTTCTGGGTGAACATGATCGAAGAGCGCGGAGGGTTGGACCACACAGGAGTTCCTGGTGAACCCGGTGCTTACCAAACCCCAGAGTCTTCTGCCGTGGAGCCAGTGCTGACGCTTCGCGGCCCGATAAAACGTTTCCAAGATGATGAGTCTGTCGGGGCAGACAGCCTCGTCCATCTCCCAAGGAATGGCTGGTGGGTTTGCATGCCCAACGTGGGGTGTGAAACAGACTGCAGAATGCTTTCATTTTACGAATTGAAGACAACCCTACCCAGCAGAGCTCGGGGAGTGAGCAGCCCTGGCAACACGGGTCTTAACCAAGCCAGCCTGACCCACGTCCCCAACAGATCCCAGAGACAAGATCGACATCGGGCTGCCTCCACCCAAGAGCCGCCGGGCCCAACAGCTGCTGGAGCGGAAACAGGCCCTTCAGGAGCTGCGGACAAGTGAGGAGGCGGAGAGGGCCGCCCGGCTCCGCACGGGTAAGGTCCCCAGGACAGGCAGGCTGCGTCCTCCTCACTCACCCACTGCAACCCTGTCGTCACCCCCACCCCGCACCCCGCACCCTGCTCCCCACCCACTCCTGCGTCCCAGCCACGGTCTTCCTTCCCAGCGCAGATCCCCCTGGAGGCAGTGCAGGATGAGTGGGAGAGGGCCTGCGGCCCCTACCACAAGCAGCGCCTGGCCGAGTATTACGGCCTCTACCGCGACCTCTTCCACAGCGCCACCTTCGTGCCCCGGGTGCCCTTGCATGTGGCCTACACTGTGGGTGAAGAGGACCTGATGCCCGTGTACTATGGCAACGAGGTCACGCCGACGGAGGTAACCACTTGCCCTGGGACTCAGGGCACGCACTGCCCTTCTTTTCCTCATTTCTGGGTGGTGCGACAGTCAAGCACCCACTCTGCTGCTAGCTGAAAAGTTGGTGGTTGAAACACACACACCACCACACCACACCACCACTCCTCTTCACCCAGGGCTCTGCAAGAAGGCCTGGCCAAAGAAAACAGCCGAGAAACTCAGAAGGGAGGGCGGGGGGTGGGGTCTGCCCTATATGAGTTAGACCACCATCAGCTTGGTGGTCCACACAGCAGCAGCAGAAGCCTACGTGCCCATTTGTAAAGCAAAGACTACAGAATAGATGCTCAAGAAGAGGCGCCTGTCTTCTCACAGGCCTGTGACTAGGCCTGCTGCCTCGGAGTCCCCTCCCTGTCCCCTGACCTCTGTCCCTGGCAGGGGTGACAGGCCCCTACCCCTACTCTCTCCCTTCCAGGCCTCCCAGGCCCCAGAAGTGACCTATGAGGCAGCTGAGGGCTCGCTGTGGACACTGCTGCTCACTAACTTGGGTAGGTGGCCAGGGATGGGACATGGGAGGGGCTGGTGGAGAGCTGCCAGCCCAGCTCCTGGCAGGGGAGGGGCAGCGGGCCTACACTCAGCCGCGTGTCTGTATGCAGATGGACACCTGCTGGAGCCCGAGGCGGAGTACGTGCACTGGCTGGTGTGAGTAGCTGGCGGTGGAGGCGAGCCCGGCTTTCTGCTGTCGAGCTGCGTCTCCTTGGTCCCGCCCGCGTCCAGTTCCACTCGGACTTGTCTATCACTGCCCCGAGCCTGCTTCCTCATCTTTCAAATTGGGGGGCTGGCTGGGGGTCGCTGTGAGGGTCAGGTGGGGGAGGCCATCCCCAGGGTCTGATTCATCCCTAGCTGCTCTCTTCTCAGTGGTCCTTGGCTCAGTGCCAGCCAGGTCACCCAGCCCTGGGGCTTGGGGAAATTGGGCCCGTGACTGGGAGGCTGGCTTTGATCTATCTGCTACAATTGTGAAGAGAACTCTTAGGCCTGGGCCAGGTACAGTGGGCATCCTGGGCAGGCAGACCCCCAGAGAGACAGAGCCCAGGCGGTGTGGCTTTCCGGGAGGGCGGCTGGGCCCACTGTCACCCTGGTGTGCTCCAGGACCTTGTCCTCAGCCCTGCCCACAGAGCTGGAGCCATAGCGTCCATGCTTTGTGTGGTGGTGACCAGAGCCCCACAGCTCTGGGTCGGGGCACTCTGTTGATAATGGCCTGTGGGCCTTCCCTCCCACCAGGACCAACATCCCAGGTGACAAGGTGACTGATGGGCAGGAGACATGTCCCTACCTGCCCCCCTTCCCAGCTCGAGGCTCCGGCTTCCACCGCTATGTCTTCCTGCTCTTTAAGCAGGACAAGCCCATCGACTTCTCTGAGGATGCCCGCCCGTCACCCTGGTAACCACATGCCCCCAGCACCCCCAGCGCCGTGCCCCCCCCCCCTTCCCTGGAATATGCATCTGATTCAGTTCTGTCCTTGGCTTTGCCTGGAGCCCCCCACGGACTTCTCCTTGGAGGCAAGGTGGAAGGCAGAGCTCTGGGGCCTCCCGCCCTCATCCTCTCTGCTCACCCTCCTCCAGCTACCAGCTCACCCAGCGGACCTTCCACACCTTCGATTTCTACAAGAAACACCAAGACTCCATGACGCCAGCCGGCCTGGCTTTCTTCCAGTGCTGCTGGGACGACTCGGTCACTCGAGTCTTCCACCAGCTTCTCAGTAAGGCCAACATGGGACACCGGGCGGCCAGGGATTGGCAGGACAGGATGAGGAACCCTCACTGGTCCACCTACTCTCTTGCAGACATGAGGGAGCCCGTGTTTGAATTCGTGCGCCCGCCCCCTTACCACCCCAAGCAGAAGCGGTTCCCCCACCAGCAGCCCCTGCGCTACCTGGACCGGTACCGGGACAGTCAGGAGCCCACCTACGGCATCTACTGAGGGCCCGAGGACGCAGCAACAAGAAAGACTCTGCAGGGGGCCAAGCCCTTGGGCTGAGCCTACCCCTCTGCTGCCCTCCCAGCAGGCCCAGGGGTGGGGTGGTGGGGGCAGAGGCTACAATAAAGACCGTTTCCGCTGCAGCTGTCCTGGGTCATTGTAGGACTTGTAGAAATGACCTCCTCTCACTTCACAAGGGGAGGCGAATCCTCCCCATCAACTGTGGACAGAGGCTGATGCTCCTCCAACCTACTGACCAGCCACAGCACTCTGCTGGCTCCTCACCATGCCCTGGAATCTGGACACACCGTTCTGGCCCTGTTAGGGGAGTTCTTAGGTACCTTGGCGATGGGTCAGACTCAGCAGTCCTGCACACCACAGAGCCGCACACCGCCTGGTCCTGAGCCGTCCACACAAGCACTGCCCTGTTTGACCCCACTGTTTCCCCACTGGGTTAGAGAAGTGGTAATTGATTACAATTCAGGCTGAGGAATGACTCCGGAGACGTTTCTTGGATTAGGACAGTCTCTTCTCAGCCATGCTTACAGGCAGGCATCCCTCTGGCCCGCTGGTCTTTGCCCAGCCTCTTCCTCCTTAGAGGAAGTGCTACAGAGCTGTGGCATCTCACCCAGCTGGTAAACCTCAGCCCAAAGACATCTACCCTGTCCCAGGGACTGTGCCCACTTCTGTGGTGCCCCCTCTCAGGTGAAAACACTGCCCCATCCCCACTCCCTCCCTTGCTGCAATGTTAGGATTGGGTTTACCTCTGGAGGAAAAGGGTTCCGATGGCAAGACGTCTGGGCACCTTTGCCAGAAAGGTGAGTTTCACGTCTGCCACAGGGAAGGCTGGTGCTTGCTGTGGGGCTGAGAGGACCCACACTAGCTGGTACTGAGTCATTCAGACTGTGGCTCAACACTGCCCAGGGAGGCAGCAGGTAAACAGAACCCCCACCTCTGCTCAGCTGCAAGGCGCCCCTCTAAAATATGAAGGTTCACAGCCATCCAGAACAAATTGTCAGCGGAGGTCCCGCTGCAAGGAGCCTCTGCCTGCAGTGAGAACAGGGGTGGACAGAGAATGAGGCCTGATCTCTGTCACTGACCAGCAATGTCCATCTCTCATTGTTGACATTTTCAGGGGGTGGAGAAATTATGTAGTGCCCCACCTCACCTGGCAATTAAAAACGGGGTGTCCTCGTCCATCATGCAGGATGGAGTGTAGGCATCTGCTTTGGTAGCACCCCCAGGATCCGGGCAGTGCCTCGGCATGACCCATATTGGGAAACCCTGGTTCGGAAGACCCAAAATTAAGCCCGGCCTGGTTAAGGGTGACACCCATGCCTTGGCAAGTGCCCAAACCCCAGTGCCAGGAAAGTGTGTTGGTAGCGCGAGTGAGGAGGGGACACCAACTGGGCACCAAGCGTGTGGCCCTCTGCCTCAAACCCTGGCCTGTGAGGGAGCAGGAGCCCAGCGGGACCGACCCCAACCTCAGATGCACTGAGGCCGCGCTGCCCTCGGGGGCCCCCCCACCCAGGATCGCGCACTGAGGGTCCAGACCGGAGTAGGCTCCAACACCCAGGCTGCCGAGGGCACGTGGACGACGGCCGGGGCGAGTCCTGGCCAGGGCGGTCCCCCAGGCTCCTCCCACCGCCTCTTTAAGGGCGCGGAGCAGGGACTTCCCGGGCGGGCAGCCGCCGCCATGGCCACCAAGCAGCTGGAGGAGAAGCTGACCTGCGCCATCTGCCTGGGGCTCTACCGAGACCCCGCGACGCTGCCCTGCGGCCACAACTTCTGCGGGACGTGCATCGGGGACTGGCTGGCGC